GGGAGGGAGGCCTCAGCTTCACTCTGCAAAAACATAGATTTGACTTCCCCTGCATGAGAGTGTGAAGCAGGTGCCAACAGAATGGATTTTGTGCTTAAGCTTGGCAGGCCTGCACTTTTTGGGATGCATACTTGAGAGAAAGGGAGAAGCAGGTGGGAGCAGGCAGGTACTTCCTACCATATTTTTTTTTAATCCTTTACAGCACTCTCAGATTCAAAGCCTATTTGACCCTGGAATAAAGACCAGGAAAGTGATCTCCCACACACAGCAGAGCAAACATTTTAACAGATGGCTTAAAAGAAGAAACAAATGGAAAATAATATGAAAGGCCACTGCTATTGGACAAGCCAAAATAATGCATGAAGAGCTGTGCAGTGGTAAAGATTAGGTCCATGGCTGCTTACTGTCAGTTACAATGAAAGGCTGGAGATTTTATCCTAGAAAGTATTACCCATTCATGTCCTAATAACCAGAGGTAATAAGCATCACTCATGCACGGAGCACACATAAATGAAAAGCATTAGACCTACCTATTGTGGAGACAACTGTGCCTGCAAAGAAGAAGGAGTTACTGAAATCCCAGTTGGTCTCTTCAAACTGTGATTCATTTCCAACAGGGTATACTCCATTTTGAATGGCTTCAGTCAGGTTCTGGGAAAGAAGGCAAAGTTTGGTGTCATCACGACTGCTTTTCTGAAGTGCTTGCTGCAAGAATACTACAGGTATATCCAACTACTGCTCCTTTCCTGTGAATACCATTCACCTGACTGTGGTGATCCTCTACACTACTCACACCTTCACCTCCAAGGTTGGGTAGCAGTTAGCTGGTGGTTTTCAGTGTTCATCTTCTGCCCTGTTTATGCTGACTGCCTTAGTGGGTGTTAGGAGAACTTTTAGTGCTTTTTCTTTCAGTGGGATCAAGGACCTTGATACTTTTCGGCTGAGTACTTTGGGAAAAAAATTATCCTAGATCCAAAATAGATGGCTAGGATGTGGCAGAGCTAGACTAAGGGATGGGATGGCTGGTTGCTGGATTTGGATTCACCCTTGAGGTGGCAGTGGTGGATCCAGGATCTGATCACCATTGCACTTTGAGCAGTGACTCTGATCCATCCCAGGGGTGCCTCGGGGACTTGTGGCAGGGTACACATGACATGCACCCAAAATTTAATTTAAAGGCTGTATTCTGGTTAGTGTTACAGAATAACCTTCAGAGAAAGTCCACTGATTTGCAAAGCCTGACGTATAGACTCTTCTCCAAACTGCACGCATGAACACACATGCACATATTTACGAAGTGGCCTTTGAGGTGAGGTTAGAGGAACATCTGTCAGAGACAGTTTGGAATGAGTTGAGACTGCCCTGCCATAGGGGGCTTGATTAGATGTGTCTTCCAAGCCTCTCAAGCCCTGTCATCTATCACTTGAAACATTTTCAGACTCTTCTTTCCCTTGTTTTTAATTCTAAGTGCTGTTAGTTTATTTAAGTTAAAATAATAATAATAATAATAATTGCCTTTAGCAAACAGAGACGATTGGACTGGACATCTGGAAGGCAGGATGGTCTGTACAGAAAAAGCTAAGATAAAATCCAAGGCACAGCCCTGCCAGAGGCAGGACACAAGCTGGAATAAACTGCACCATCAAATTCTTTCTCCCTGCTTACTCTCTCACTATCCTTTTAGCTGGTGTTCCAAAAAATCAGGGCTAAAAAAATCATTCCATATCCCTTGCACAAAGATTTCTTTGTCTTGAAAAGCTCATCTTTTTTTTTTTTTTTCTCCTCCCCTACCCATAAAAAACAATCAAGGTGAAGAGAATGCATGTGTAGGTGAAAAGGGTGCTGAATTGCTGGTTGTGTTATTAAAAATACCAGTTCTTCCCCACCTTTCATTATTTTGCAAACAGGCCCATTAAGATCTCCATTCGTTTCCCTTCCAACAGGGCTTGCACTCCTGCATTGATTTTCTCCTGCAGGGTAGCAGATTTTCTGATTTTCTCCTGCAGTGTAGCAGATAGAGCTAGGAAATACCGATGGTGAAGAGACAACTGTACTTATTCTCAGCTTTCCGTGCTGTGACCAGAAACGCTTTCCCCCTGACCAGGCTACCTGTTTCACTTCTACAGCATCCTCAGAAAGTAAACCCTGACTGCGCCACTCTCCCGGTAGTAATTTGGGCTTCTTTTTTTTCCCCTCCAGTCAGACCTTGCCTTATTGTTCCTCGGTGCTACCAGTGACACTTGTTGTAAGTGGAAGCCACAGCTATTCATTTCAGACAGCCTTATTTTTCCTACCCTTCCACCCATTGTGTATGAGCACAGCCACACTGAGAGCCGAATCAACAGGAGGCAAGAACTACACCCCCCCCTCCAAAAAAAAAAAAAAAAAAAAAAAGGAAAAAAAGGACATTGCAGGATGGGGACTGTTAATAGCTACCACAGACAAGGTTTTGTCCAGCTACACAAGCTGTATTGACCTTCAGAGCAACCTGCTCAGACTGGAGAGGGGCTTGGTAAAAGCATCCAAGTGACGACATCAGGAGAGCAGTGAAGGTCAACCTGTGTAGCAGGGCTGAGTAGGAAGCAACACGTAATGAGAAAACAGCGGGGAGAAAGGACTTCCACAGGGCTCCACTTACCCTCATGAACTGCTCCATCTCCACCACCGTGAGCTGCCTGAAGCTCTGCAGAAAAGCCTCCTTCATCTGGGCAGCTGCCATTTTCTCCCGCTTCTCCGCAGTCCTCTCCAGCGCCTGGAACACGGCGGCACCCACCAGCAGGTACACAAAGTAGCCAGCCACCAGCAGACCTGTCTGCAGCTTGCCACTGCACATGGCCTTCAGTGGGACACAGCGAGGGATGGGGGAGCGAAAGGTGGCGATTAGTAAATCCCTCGCACTCCTGGGAAGCCTCCCCCGGGCAGGAAGAGCCCTCCCAGCTCTGGTTTCCGCTGGGATCCTGTGCTGACAGGGACAGCGAGCTGCCAAATACATTCATTGGGAAGTTGGGAAAGGAAAAAAAAAAACACAAACAAACCAAAACACAACCAACCCAAGAAAAAACTTTCCATTCTCTGGGCTGCATGCTGTTTAGGGATTTCCTCTTGTCTGTGAAACTCTCCCTTGCTGAATTCTCAGGAAAAGTGGGTCAGGATGTGAGGAGCTGGCAGGTGGCCATCTCCTGCTCAAGAGGCTCTGGGGACAGGTGAGGATTGTCTTTAAACGGTCCACAGGGGAGTTTGCTTGGAAAAACATGATTTACCCTCCTGTGTCTCCTGCTGAGTCCAGGAACTGGACTCCAGGGCAAGCCTCGATGATCCCAGAAGCCTCTTCTTGCCCTGTGTTTAGAGGCAGCTTCAGGAAATGCAGCTGGACTGTTCTTGTCCACTTGGCCTTACTTGTCCACTTCAAAGTGTCAGAGCTTGTTCCCATCAGCTTCAAGGAGAATGGTTTGGGTGCCATTGAGAAGAATTTGTAGGGTGGCAGGGGGAAATCCTTGAATGAAGATGTTGACTTGTGAACATACAGCAGATAGATCTGAGCTTGGCAGCACCATGGACATTGTTAACCCTCAGATTAACTTTCTTGACTTTAGATTTTCCGGAATTTTCCTTTTGTTTTGTGCACAATTTCTTTGTTATTTCAGCAGATGCTCTACGTTAATCATGAGAAAACACTGAAGCAAATCAGCCTTCGAAGAAGCATTTAATATGTTCCACCTAATCTTCTCTTCAAGTTTTTGTGTTTTTATTGAGTTCAAAAATACAAGAAGAGGCAGAGGCTCAGGGATTAGTTTTGCAGAACTGGTGTAAACAAGAAGAGGCACATAGCTTCACTCTGTCAGGTGCAGGTTGTCCTTTCACACATAAAGCTGTTTGACCTCAGAGGAAAACAGGAAGACTATGAATGAAGGTAAGTATCTTTCCAAACCCTTAAACGTTTGAGGACTTTCCTTAGAAGTTACTGGAAAAGGGTTTGTAGAAACAGGATGTGTCGTTCTTCCTTTCACTTCTTTTGAAGTTATAACAAAGGTGTGCTTCTTACTCAGATTTAAATTATTTCTATAAAAATAAAGGCACCTGTGGTTCACCATTTTGTGTCTCTCAGACTCCCAGCCCTGTGAGATAAGAGAAATCCCTTTACATGTACAAATGCAGCATTTCTTCATCTGCACAACAGACACAAAGATAATACAAGTGGGTTATTTCCTCAGTTCATCTGAGGGGAAAAATGGATGAAAAAGCCATGAAAGTCATGGAAGATTGTGAGACTTTGATATTGATTGCAGTTGTAGTGGTTTGATCAGGTGGGTAAGTGCCAAGAAACCTCACCTTTTCCATGCTGTCTCCTCTGAACTGTATACTAAGCTGGGTTTTCCTCTAGCCCTATCTTCAAGATAGCAGGTTTGCTATTTGTGCATGCATCTTCAGAAGCCCTTGATTGCCAGTCTGAAGATTGGTGACCTTTGTTTTTCTCTAGCTCTGGAACAGGGAATACACATCACCTTATTCCAGTCTATGTCTTCGAATGAAGAATCTTCAATAACCTGCCTGCGAATCTGCAATAACCACTACAGATTCTTCTGATATGAGAGGTGTGTCCCATCACACAGCATCTTGTTCATACTTGGGTTGACACTTGCACGGGGAAAGAGGGAGGGAAAGCACAGTTCACTACTGGGATTATTGCAAATAAGCTGCTTTGGAGAAGAAAATGAAGAAGGAACTCCTGGTCACTCAGTGGAATTCTTCACCTGAAGCAATTCCTCATTAAAGGAAGAATAATTTCCATTAGTTGTGACTGCTCCTCTCCTTACTTTGCCTAGACTAAAAACTACAAAACATGGTCTTGGTGGAGGCTGAAAAAGCTGTGCCACTTGTTGTAGTTATTGAATGTCACTGGGCTGAGACAGCACACCATCATTGACTCCATTCCACCCCAGGGGTCTGGATACGGGGTTAGCCTGACACCAACTCACCCCAATTATGGAAACTGAGCACTTCCCAAGTGCTGGGCGCTGCTGTTGGAACAACATCCTCCTCCGAGGGCTGATGCTGGCACTCACACCTGCTTCATAAGCAGAGTGATAACTTGTTCAGAGAGCTGGGAAGGCAAATGGGGACAGTGTATCTGGTGAACCAGCCACCATTACCTTTGTGCACTGTGAGATCATGAATACATCCCACCTAGGTGCAAGTTATCAAAGAAATCGTAAAAGTCATAGAATGGTTTCGGTTGGAAGGGACCTTAAAAATCATATAGTTCCAAACCGCCTGCTCTGGGCAGGGAGGCCACCGAGTACATCAGGTGGGTCCATGCTCAGGGCCCCATCCAACCAGACCTTGAACACTGCCAGGGAAGTTAATACAACCCTACTAGTTAATCAAAACAAATCAGTGGTGGGAACAGCTTTTATCTCATGATCCCCAGTACTTCAGACCATGCAGTGAGGGCTGGCAGCTCCCTCAGGCCCGGGAGCTGAGTGTGCTGACGCCACAGTCTGTCTGTCCCACTGCCCCCATCCAGGGAGCAGGGCAGGCCTGGAGACCCTCGGCAGGTTCAGTCACCCCCTGCAGGGTGATCATGGGGCATGTTCATGGTGATGAGACAGGATGAGTTCAGGCTGGGAAGTCATCTTGCAGCTCAGAGTCACATGCAGGGATGGCCAGGAAGGGCTTAGGGAGCGAGCCAGGCAGGGGTGTTGTTGTGCTGGTGGGCTTGGCTCATTGGGACTGAGCCATTGGTTCCAAACTATACAATTCCCTTTCATTAATTAGTCTTTTATTCTCTATTGGTTTTTAATTTCTCTCTGTTCATGCTAATTAGGTCCATGCTTTTAGTATGTTTTTCCCTCGGTAGGGATTTTCCTACATATATACTGAGTTTTTGTTAGTTTTTCCTTTATTTTCTGGTTTCTGCAGAATGTCCATGTGGTCCATAAATTCTGCACTCCTTGTATCCGATTTCAACAATACATCTTTCTTTTCCCAGGCTTTGCTTATTGAAGCCTATCAAGGTTAGTTTATCAAAAGGTAAAGTTTCAGTAATTTTCCAAATTTTCTCACAATTTCAGCTTACATTAAACTCTGCTGAATTCTAGCTAAAAGTGGTTTAAGGCCTGACACACTACTTATTAACAACTAATTAAAAGGTTAACTAAAACCATTAAAAATTTGGAAAAGTGATATCAATTCCACATGCATTATTTACCCAGTCCATTGCAGGGAAACCCACATAGTGAGATCCGGTGGTAATGGAGGGCAGGGAGCATTTCCTGCCTGTGACATGATGTGCTGGGGCAGAGTTTTCTTACACTCAGTCCTGCTCTCACTCCTTTAGACTCCAATCATATCCACAGTTTGGCCATTTCCTTTTTCTACATATGGCATTAGCTGTCTTGCTGCATCCTTATGCATTCCGTGTCCTTAAGCAGATTATAGCCTGAAATTAATTCCAGTTTAATGGAAAATGTTATCAGTTTCCACGGAAATGACTTCCCACGTGATCGTGGTTGTACCTCCTGTTGTGCTTAGGGCTAAAACCATAAGATGATCTGTATTTTTTACACTTTCTTACAGATCTATAAATACCTATTACTCATAACTGGTCAGAACATTCAGTCTTCAAATGTGGAATTTTGGTTTTTATACTGTGATCTTATGCCAGACTATTAAACACTTAGGCTAAAGCTGTATTCAACAGAGATCCTCATACTTCCTTTTTATTATTTTAGGTCTGCAAAGCCAAGTTCCTGCGGATAGCTATCTGCTGTCAAGGAAATGGGCTGATATCCATGAGTGAAGAAAATCCTGAAGCTAGTCACTTGCCTTTGCTAGCTGGTTGATATTGAGATAAGAGCTCTGGTGTTTAGGAGGTAAGGGCTGCTGTGCCAGACAGCCCAGCATGGAGAATTACCCAAGTGATCTGGGAGTCCTGGCCCACAGCGTTGGCCAGAGCGATCAGTTGAGCCCAGGAAGAAGGGAGGGGTATGGTAAAGATATTTTTAGATTTGAGTTTATTTTTCATTATCCCACTCTGATTTGTTTGGTAGAAAATTAGATATGTTTCCCCAAGTTGAGCCTGAGTGATCTCCCTGTCCTTGTCTCAACCCACAATTCTTTGGTCCTGATTTTTTCTCCCTGTCCTGCCAAGGTCAACACACCACAAGCACTGAGTACCCGTGCCTGCATTCCTCACTAAAATGAGGTACAGCCACTCAACAGAGGAAGCATTTGCTCAAACACACTATTTATTGGCATTTTCGCACAGGGTGAAGCTCCCAGAGGGATTGGACTCTCTCAAAAAGGGCAGGCAGTGTACATGGGTGGTAATAGGAGTCTCTGGTTCCAGGGTCTTTGCCACTGACTCTTCAGCTGCCTCGGCTCTGACTCTCAGAGGAAATGCGTTTGCTGTAGAGGAAATGTTCAGCAACAATTATCACAGCTGAGAGAGCACTGTCTTCTCCACGTCCTGCATGCTAAGGCCTGTGGCACCTGCTCCCCAGGGAGCCAAGGGTAGGTGGATACTCCTCCCAAACAATAGGGAAGGTACAGAGGCCCCTCAGGAGTACCTCTCACTTGGACCCACCACAACCAGATCTCCCACCAAGAATTGTGCCAGAAGAAGAGCTTCTGAAGCTACAGCTATAACATTTCTAGAAGTTTCTGACAGAAGTCACACCTGTAATCCTTTAGCTACTTGACCTCCGAGTTGGGTCTGTATTCTGTAGGTGTAACCAAATTGGTTGCCTGGGGCCATTATGAGTGGATGAGCTGGGGTGGGGATGAAGGGCTGGGCTGGCCTGGCTGTGATCTGACTCTTGTGACATCACAGGTGCCGTGTCACAATGGGGGCAGCTCTAGATGGCCCCAGCGGGTAACACTGCTCCAGTATAGCCTGGACAATTGGTGAGTACACACGCTGGGCCGAGGCTGGGCTGCACAAGGGCCAGGGCAGAAACTCTGTCCCTGGGGATGGATTCTCACTCTCTGTGCAGGGGCAATCCCTCACCAGAACACCTTGGGCTTGCAATGGTGCTGCTGCTGCTGGTGGGGCAGTGGGAGAATCCTTGCTGAATGCAAGCCACCCTGGGTCCCTCTCCTTCCTGCCCTCACATTCCTGCAGCTCCCATCCCTACTCCCCATATCTCCTTGTCCTTTGATTTCTCCCTTCCTTTCATCCACACTCAACTCCTTCTCTCTCTCCTCATGTAGGCCATGGCTGTCAAAATGTTTCTTCTCGTGCTTTTGCAAACCCTCATCCAGTACCCACAGCTGGCGGGTGATGGGCTGGATGAGGCCACCCGTGTGCGCATGGAGCTGCGCACCAAGTTCCTGAACAGGGAGATGACTCGGCTGCTGCAGGAGCTGGAGCAGAGCAGCCTGGAGCGCACTGTCAGGGCCTGGGGAGCCCTGCTCTGGGCTGTCTTGCAGCACTGGAACTTCTGTGCTCTGATTGTTGGCCTGGGCCTTCATGTGGCACTGTGTATTATATGCCTGAGAAGTAGCTTCCAGCCAGACAACAACGGCGAAGAGCAGGAGCAGGAAGGAGGTGGTGATGGTGGTGGAAATGAAGGGGAGGAAAATCATGATGCCATTGTGCTGGAAGACAACAATGAGGATGCAAATGAAGAAGAAGACCAGGATATAGAAGAAGAAGATAATATTGACAACATCCTGAGATGGATTATAAAGCGGCAAATACCGTGGCGTGTTCTGGACCTGAAGGAAGGGAGCGAGGTAGCAACTTTCCTGATGGACAACTTCTCCCTTGTGTTTGGACACATCTTGTCCAACAGTTCCTACCCAATGCTGCAACGAGCCATTGGGGTGGGCAGTGCCTTTGAAGGGTGGAGTCCCCGGGAGGAGGATGTCGTGTACAGCGTCCTTGTCCCCCTCACTCCTCCCCCGGGGCACATCTTTCATCTGGAGATGGACACTTCAGGCCAGTTGCCTGGGAGGAACTTCTACATCCGCGTGGAGCCGGTGTGCACCTGCAGGAGGGAGCAACAGGACGAGAACGTGCTGTGCTTCCTCCACCACCCAGAGGAAGAGCAGAGGAGGAATGAGGAGCCCAACTTCCTAAACACCCTCTGCTCTGGCTCCTACCTAGATGTGGAGAAAACTGCCCGCTGGTTCTACCAGCTGGTGAGAGCAGCCTGGCTGGCTTTGCCTCATTCACACACTTGGCACTTAGTGCTGCTGCCCTCCAGCCGCTCCTGCAAATTCAAGGTGAGCAGAGGCCAAGAGAGCCTGATGGTTGAGGTGCTGTTTGGGGTGCAAGAAGGCAATTCAGACATCTATGTGAGCAGCCAGCCCACAGAGGCCCTCTTCACCCCAAGCACAATGTGGCCGGAGACCTACGCCGTGGCAGAGATGAAGTTCTTCAGGCACATTGCCCGGCAGGCTCCACGGGACAGCTGGCACCTCAAATGCCTGCAGTTCTTGGCCCGTGCTCTGCTGGGCTTTGGCTTCTCCACCTACACCCTGAAGACCATTGTGATGCACCTCCTGAACATCGTACCCATGTCACGCTGGCGCATGACGCATTTCCTGCGGCGAGTGGGTGATGCCCTGCAGTACCTGCACGGCTCCCTGGAGGAGAAACGCCTGGACCACTTTGTTGTGGGCAACCAGAAATTTCCTGAGGAGATTATCTTGCCTCCGGATGTCAAAGCTGCTGAGCCACTCAACCTCTTCCATCGGCTGGCAGTGGATCCCATTGCCCACACCCAGG